GAGTGTTATGAAATAATAAAATAATGTATGTGAATGACTATTTTGCCCTCGATTTATTTGTATTATTACAAATTGTGCCATCAGGAGTTTCCTATAAATAGGAGCTTCAGTTATAATGAAAAACACACCTAAGAGAATACATTTTCTCTATTCTCTCTCTTTCTCTCTAGTTTTATAACAGGCCAATTATTTTAAGGTGAAATTTTATTTTTGCCACATGATCTTACGGTGGGCTAACTTTTATTTGTATCCTTAACAATTCCATGACATTTGATATATCTATCTATATCTATTTTCTATATAAAAAGGAGTTGATGGAATTGTAGTTACTAATAATAACAGTAAATGTTTTTTCTTCGAAATGATATCATCAATATATTTGGAATTAAATGTATAATTAGTACTTTTGGCTTTTTGATTTATTAAATCATTCATGATAATTAGTTATCAATTTAATATATAATTAGTATTTTTTATGACATTCAAGACAATATTAATTAATTAGTGGCATATTTAGTGATTATATTAAATATTATGCATATTTAATGATTATATTAAATATAATGCATATTAAATATAATAGTGGCATATATAATGCACATTTGTCATCCACAATCTGTAAACCTCCATATCTTAATTCAAATTTCGTAGTTAATTCATTTAATGGCATGTGAAATTATTATAACAGGTTGCATATTTGACTCTTGACCATATACTTTTGATAATTATTTATATTTGTTGCATCTAATTATTTTGTACACTTTTTATTATATTTGATGATATCAACTAATCATCTTGGATACTTTGAAGGTTTTCTACACTAATGACAATACGAATTATATTGTATATTGTTTTCATGGAAAAAAAATTCATAAGTTATCAATTAACCCAGGATATATGTAGTATTGATTCCATAGAATATATGACTTAATCTATATAATTCTCAATGTGATTAAATAAATTAACAAATCCCAAAAGAGAAAAAAAACGAAAATCCCAAAATGAATCATATGGCAAGTTAAATATATACGATCAATTATTTCGAGGATAATTTCAAATTTTTGAAAAATAAATTTTCAATTTTAAGTATAAGAATCATTATGTTTGGAAATGTAAAAAATAATATTTAAAATGATTTTGACCATATTTTTAATAATATATAAAAGTATGCATACCATCAAATAAGATAAAGATACCCCAATCATTTGATAATTCATACCATCAAATAAGATAATACTCCAATCATTTGATAATTAATTATCAATTATATCTATTATTATAAATTAACCATGATATGTACTAAATTATTCCATAGAATACTAGTGTATATCTCGTGCGATGCACGGAGGAGCTCATATTTTAAACCTTTTTTTAGACTTCATTTTAGATATAATTCTTTATATTTTTCACATCTCATTTATTATGAAAATAAAATAAATACAAACAATGAAAAATATATATTATTAAACACTTCTCTTTATACAATATTTTTTATTTAAGGAATATTATTAAACCTTACGATTTTGATTTATTTTTTTTTTTTAAATCAATTACCCAATATATGATTGTTAATGTACAAAAAATAATGAAAAGAATCCAGACGTTAAAGTAAAGCTATTTCTTATTTTTTACAAATCGAAATCATTCAAATTTTTTTAATTTCAAACAAATTTGGCGAGTTTGTTAATGAGATAAATCAAGTTATACAAATAATTAATTAGTTAAAATATTATATTAATTATATTTTAAGAAATCTGATTATATAAATGTGGATAAAAAAATATTATAGTAACTAGTTTGTTAGGAATGCGATTATATAAAAGTTAAGAAGAGTTCGGTTTTTTTGGTTCTTCGGGCAATCAAATAATGAAAATTAACCAACAATAACCGATTTTGACTTAAGAACCAGTCAAAAAATTACAACTCGTGAACTAAAAGTATCATAAAAAATTGAGAACCGAAATGAAAAAATGAGGAACCGAGTATTACATATGAAGAACAAAACATGCATATTTCATATATATAGTCAGTTCCTCGGTTAATACATATACGTTTGGAAAGGAACTAGGAACCGGAACTGGTTTGTACAAAAAATAACCGGACTAAAAATAACGTTTTTTTTTTTTAATAATCGGACCGAACTGGCTATTTTCGGTTCGGTCCGGTTCGGTTCTCCGGTTATCGGGTATTAAATTTTTCCCCTAACGCAAATGATAAAAAGCATGAAATGATTGATTTTGCAGATGCAGGATATTTATCTGACCCACGTAAGGCGAGATCTCAAACTGGCTACGTTTTTACAATTGGTGGAACTTCATTTTCTTGGTGTTCTCAGAAACAAACACTAGTTGCTACATCTTCAAACCATGTTGAAATCATTGCACTTGATGAAGCAACTAGGGAAAGCATCTGACTCATAAACATGACTAAACACATTCAACAAGCCAGTGGATTATCGAATAATAAAGATTTGACGGTGATATTTGAAGACAATGCAGCATGTGTCGCTCAAACGGAATAAACAGATCAAGATTCAATGCATCAGATCAAGTGATAATGCAGCAAATTTATTTACAAAGGTGCTCCCAACTACAACATTTCGGAAGCACGTTCATAACATTGGAATGAGACATCTTCTAGATTTGCACAGATGATAACTCGAGGGGGAGCATGTGCGGCTGTACCCTTTTTTCCTTATCTTGGTTTTTTTCTCATAGAATTTTTTTAGATTTTTTTTAACGAGGCAGCATAAACGCACATTGAATAGTGGTAATTCTAAGGGGGAGTATTATGACTTATGAACAAGTGAAACGTACCACTATTCATTAATAATGATTCTATCACTATCGGAAACGTGAACAATAAAGGGATTGAGATATGAAGTCTTTGTGTACACAATTTATTGTAATGTCGGTAGAGTTTGCCTATAAAAGACAACCCAAATTAAGTGAAAGAATGCACATACATAGAAAGAAGAAATAAATTCAGTATACTTCATATCTAATTTCTATACCGAGTTATTTATCTTTCCCGTTTTTAACTTTTTATAACAAAAATAACATTTTCAGCTCAATTAATTCTAAACTTGAAATTTCCAATCAGTCTCATTACAAAAAACGAACCTCAACTCAAACTTTTCTTGATAACTTGTTTTCAATTATGATGATTCAACCAGGCTTAGCCCATAAACTAAATGGTAAGTATGTAGCCGACGACTACCGCAAATTCTTGTGCTTTTGGGACTATGGTCTTGAGGCTCTCTTACAAGTCGCAACCCTTTATTATGTCAATTGTGTGGTTAAATTGCAACAATAAAAGAAATACCTTTCAAAAGAGATATCTTATTATTTATAATATAATGTTGAATTGAAAACCCCTTTTAATTATGGGTAATTTGGTCAAGGGGTAAAAAATAAAAATTTTCACATCACTTTCTCAATTAATCAATTAGGTCGTCACATATCCCTGTTCTACATAATGCATATTCTCACGAATGCACAGCTTTACCACAGATAGTTACTCGCAAAAAGAATAGTAACATAGATAAATGGGGAAAGTCCACTTTTGGTCCTCTATGTTTAGGGGTATCCAGATTGAGTCCCTATTATGTTTTGGTGCCCAATTTTAGTCCTTAAAACAAAAAAAATGTAGTCCCTATAATAGGAAAAAATCCACTTTTAGTCCTCCATGTTTAGGGGTATCCAGACTTAATCCCTATTATGTTTTGATGCCCAATTTTAGTCCTTAAAACAAAAAAATGTAGTCCCTTTACCTCAATTTATGTGAATTAACGGTCCATTTTTGCTCGACCGTTATGTTCTTCATTTTTTAAAAATTTGTTGACTAATGTCAACTTTGACCAAAGAAAAATATAAGAAAATTTAAATGCTGAAAAAAGGTAAAATAAAAGGCAGAAATGGTGAACTGCAGTGAAACGTAGAAAAAAAAACCTGACCGCCTAGAGACTAAATCCGATCAAATGGATGGAAAATGGTGTGGTATTTTGTAGATGTGAGCTGGGTGCAAAGTTGACTACATGCTGGAAGGATGATAATCCCGAGAGAAGATTCTTGAGTTGCCCTCTATATCCTGTAAGTACTTCTTGTGAACTTCAATTGGAATATGATAAGAAATGGTTAAAAAACAGAGGGTTGATAGGTGCAATTTTTTTCGATGGCTTGACCCGGAAATGGGTGCAAGAGCAGTAGCTGTGATTCCAGGCTTGCTCCGCAGCGCGAATGCTAGGGAAATAGAAATCAGACGAGCAAAAATTTTAATTTAATTTGGTGCAATTTCTTGTTTTAGTTTAATTTTTGATTAATATATTTTCATCATTTAAATTTTCTTTTATTTTTGTTTGGTCAAAGTTGACATTAATCAACAAATTTTAAAAAAATAAAGAACATCACAGTCGAGCAAAAATGGACCGTTAGTTCACAGAAATTGAGGTAAATGGACTACATTTTTTTGTTTTATGGACTAAAATTGGGCATCAAAACATAATAGGGATTAAGTCTGGATACCCCTAAACATGGAGGACTAAAAGTGGATTTTTCCCTATTATAGGGACTACATTTTTTTGTTTTAAGGACTAAAATTGGGCACCAAAACATAATAGGGACTCAGTCTGGATACCCCTAAACATGGAGGACCAAAAGTGGACTTTACCCCAGATAAATTCCATTTCATTTTCATTATCCTTTCCTATGACAAGACAGCACATCCAAATTAAAGCAGCTGTTCAGTGTTTGGGGTCACAAAAATATCAATTGAGTGAGCCCAATGTTTTTCTGGCACGATATTTTGTTTTTAAAATAAAGCTTGCATCACTCTATAGTCCATACCAATGTAATTGGTCAATATCAATTCACTCAGTTAATTGGTAATAATAATAATAATAATAATAATAATAATAATAATAATAATAATGGATAGACAACTTTATTAATAGTAAAGATTTATATTACTAGATCTTGTACAAGTTCATTTTGATAACTTGCTACAGATAGTGATATTTTGCTTACTTGAAAAAATGACAAAGATATCAACTTCAAGTGTTGAAGTAATATTTAATAGAAAAAGTTCAATGCATTTCATTAACAGCATAAACTGAGGCAGAGATCCCTTTCAGTTGAAAAATAAAACTGAAAGTTGGATCCAGCAAATGCCACACAAAAAGGGCAACACCACCATCACACCATGCCTCATTTACATACATACATACATTTTCTTACAATCCTTTTTTTTTTTTTCTTTAATTTTCAATTTTCCCATATTTTGGAATACTCCCCCCAAGCCCAAGCAAGACTTGGGCCTGTAAATTCAAGTACCAATTAATGCTTGGGCCTAAGCTCAATACCCTCAACAATAAGTCCTCCTTTGAGCTGCTCACTTTTAACTTCTCTAAATTCCATTTTCACCTCTTTATTATTACCATTATTGTAAAATTGACCCAATTCCACCTCCAACCAACCGTCGACACGTGTACATGGCACACGCTCGTCGATTGGAGAGTCGAGCTCTTGCCTTTTACATCCGTCTTGGGTCACGTAAATTTTCCCATCAGTCTTGTAATTCCCCATCTCGACAGAGACCTCAGATGGCATAACACTTAGTCCAAAAGCACGACTGTTCAATTTGATAATGAGGTATGCACCATAGGTCGTGTTTGGGGATAACATTTGCGTGTTAAACTTTCCGAGTATTTCTAGCCGGCACACTGATATCAGCTCGATCGCCTCTGGAAACCTAATCGAAAACGAAATAATTAATTAAATAACATATGAAAAAATAAATATTAGAATTTAATTAAGATGGAAAATAATACAAGTGGATAAGAACCTAGACATTGGGATGGGCTTCCAACACCAACAAAGAGGATTGGTGGACCAAGTTATTGAAAGCTCCTTTGCACTCAACATGTAACATCTCTTGTTTGTGTATTTGTCAATTGAAAACGTCTGTCCAAAAACATAAATATCAATCAAAAATAAATATATGAACATTCGAGAATAGTAATTTCTTTTTTCATTTTCATTTTCCTTTTTTTTTCAACCCAGTAGATTATATTATATTAAGTTAGTATCAATTTTTATCAAGGAAGTATATAAAAGAAACTACGGAAAAGTCTAACGCTATAGAAACATCGTTGTCTTATCTTTTAATAGAAAATTTTTAAAATTATGAATACCATAAATACCAATATTTTGTTTAATATAACTAAACACACAGCCCTGAAATACTAGTCAAAAAATATGGGCAAAGCCGAAATTTCTTAGATTTTATACTATTATTAAATTTTATGCATAAAATTAAAATTCTAATCGTTATTTCGACATGTTCATGTTTTATTTGAGTTTTAATGACTTTCAGTATTGAATAAGTTAGATTTATATATCATAGAAAAATGTAAAAATTAAAACTAATTAACATTTAAAAGATTGATAATAATATGGACGGTAAAATCGGTTGAATTTCATACCGGAAATTTGTCGAGCTTAAGTAAGAGTAGGATATTAACATCTGATTCTTTAGTATTTTCTTAAAATGTTATGAGATCCATATGTAAATATGTAATACTATGCACTAATTTATATTCATATTTATTAAAAAAAAAAAAAAATAAATCGTCCATTATTGAAAATTGCAGCAGATGTATGTACTGTTCGGAATTTATAGCACCTGTCGGACTCTTCCAAATTTATAAAAAAATTGGAAGTGACAATGGAAAGCAACGTTTACCCTACCACATATGCGTACTACAACTACTCACCATCGTGTAATAATGTCTAAAGGTGAGTGAACGATAATGTCCCGTTTCACAATATTCCTTTATTTACTTAAAAGAGAAAAAATAAAAATATAATGATTAACATTTACGTGATATAAAAATAGAAAATTATTGGATACAAATTATTGATAGGTAAAAATATATAAAAAAAAAGTGAATAATACTACCTCCTATTCTTTTTAAATGTCATTTTTACTTTATCAACCATTAATCAAATAAACAATTTTTTTTATCTTTTACACGTATTTTTTTTATTATTACCTTCAATTAACTAATAAATATAATAAATACACTACGTATTTTTATATTCAATCTTCATTTTTTCATATTCTTAATTACTGTGCAATTTCTCAGAACGAAGATTATTGTGAAAAGGAGGGAGTAAATTTTATTGAAAATATACAGTGATTATTAATTATTATTTAATAGTATTTATTGAAAATCTAGAATTAGATTGATAGTAATTTGTTTAAGAAAAAATGTATCCAATTATAGTTTCGACGAAAAAAAATTATAAGCCGAAACGAAACAAAATATTTTGTATGCAAAAGCTCCCTTAGTTATTTTTTTATTTTAATTTTTTTCTCTCTATATATTATTTGAACTTAATGTAAATTTGAGAAAAAAAAAAAAATTGGATCTCTTATAAGTTGTTGCTAGCTACAATATCTGTGTACTACATGATAGCTTATTAAAAAAATTATATTTAAAATTAAAAATAATATTTTTTAAATTTTTTATACGACTTATCACCTTATATCATAATAATCTTTTAATTATCATATGACTACATTGTAGTTAAATTAATTTATATAATATAATTCAATTTTTACTATAATTATAAGTATAATTATTTATTTATTTGTATGTACAATACTAATGTCAAATCAAAATTCATCACGGCATGATAAATTTGATATATTATACATAAAAAAATTATTAACATTTAAATCTACACTACAACATAAATGGCTTTAGGTGGCACCAAAAAATGATACGTAAAAGCTATAAAATGTCACGTAAAAACTATAAAATGTTACTATAGACAATAGATAATAGAAGATTGGCGCTACAGTTGTTTGTGCTACCTGAAGGTCAAAGATAATACTTTTAGTAGTTTTTGATAACATTTATATGATACTTTTGCTAATTTTTTGTAACACTTATATTAAACGTGTTATAATAATATGATACATAAATTAATAATATGATACATAAACCAATAATTGTAAAGTATTACAGTAAATGTTGCTACCGAAAGTCATTTATGTTGTAGTGCTACTTAATAAAATTAGTAAAGTTTTTTTTTAATTTAAAAAAAATTAATAAAAAATTATGCCTTATAAACCACGTCTAGAATATGAAATGATATTAAAACTGAAATAATATTCTTAAAAAGGATCACAAGTATCTAGTATATTTATCAATATTACAAGTCTAGTTATTTTTCGATTTGAAGTACTTTAAAATTCATCAAGTAAAATGACAAGTTATGAAAATTTGTCACATAGGATCTAAAATATACGTCTGTCACTTAAATTCAGCGTATTTGAAAATTATGCACACTAACTTCATCGCATTATCTTTTTGTATTGTTAGCCTTGTTTATGGATATTTTATTCATTGAATTTCATAATGGTATTGAGAATGTATTCAAATATATAATATGAAAAATAATAGTCACACACTTATTTTTCTAAAAATCTTAATTGACCTAAAATACTATGAAACTAATAATTATTTGCACCCTTAATATAACTCATTTAACAAGTTGGATGACAAGAAGAATTGTTTACTTTTGTTTATTACATTCAATTATTGGTGCAATGTAATGGAAATCAGGAAATTATTTATAAATTTATTTGCTCATGCTTTTACATAATCAAAATAAAACAAGCTTAGTTATTTTGTTACTCCAATTTTTATTATTAATATTGAATATATAATTTACAAAACATTTTTCACTCATAAAGCTGCACATGTACATAAGAATATGAACCATAAAAATGCTATTTCCGCCAATTTATAGTTATTAATTTATAAAATATCAGAATTATTTTTAAACTCTAATAACTTTATATTTAATCACATTTTTATGTATACTATTTCCATAATTTAATAATTTTCAATTTGATATTTATAATTTATGTAACAGTCGTAAATTATATCCATTTTATTTATATAACGATAACTCTCAAAAACAAAATTCCTAATATAAACCCATTTATAATTATAAAGTTAATATATAACTCATATACTTAAATTTAACAGATATTTTTATGACTGCAATCACTAAGTCGCACTATATCATTCAAGATGATAAAACTTATGTCAATGTATGCATACTATTGGATGAAGTATAATTTTAAATATTTTATATATACAATTTATCTTAATTTTTAACTTATGTCGGAGTACTAATTTGCTAAACATTGGCCATCAAATACCTTCCATAATATGTATCGGAAAATTACTAATGTTACATTATATTTGTTGGATTCACACGATTAAGAATATTAGAATTTTTTTCTTATTTAAGCCAAACGTGAGCTACAAATAGATTGTAATTTTATTTTTCAATTTGAGGGTAGAGTAAATAATAAATAGTAATTATTAAGCAACTTTTTAAGGTAGAGTGACCGAAAAAAAAATTGTCACTGCTCATGCTCACAAAGAAATTGAGTTGTATGAAATTTATAGGTTGTATTTATCGTGAATTATTATATAAATTGAATATAACGTGACATTTTTAGATTTTTTGAAATCTCTAATAGATATCTCAAATTTTTAAAAAAATTAAAAAATCCAAATAAAATACATTAAAATTTTTAAAATCTAAAAATGTCTTAAAAATATGAGTCACTGTTTTACCGTAAAAAATGCAATTAGTTTCGCTTCTTTTTCCTTTTCCAAATAAAAGATAGGTAAATAAATGAAAATTAATTAATTAATTAATTACCTTGGTAGCTCCATCAATGAGGAGCGGAGACGAAGAGAGCTTGGCAAAGAGCTCCTTCTTCGAGGAGAACTCCACCGGCGAAATCGACCGTGAGATGATTTCCCGGTAATCGGACGGCAGGAATCTGTCCCAGACGAGGTCGGAATCCGCCGCGCCGCGGAACATCCCGGAGACGGCCGACGAGCGGCAGGCATCGCCAGGGCCGGTGAAGGTGATGACGTGGCTCAGGCATTCCTCCGGTAACTCCTCAACGCTCCTCTTTCCCGCCATTGATTTCGAATTCTAACCTCACTTCCTAATTCTGCTCTCAAACTAAGCTCTCTTTTTTGTTAACTACGATGGTTATGGCAATGCTAATTGTTATGTATGCTTGTGTTTATATAGAGAAGAGGGGGAAGGAGATAAAAGGAAATGTGCAGTTGGATATAACTTTCATTTGGTAAAAAAAGAAATAATAATTGGTAAAGTTAGTAGAATATATTTGGATGAGAAGATATAGTAGAATTATAATAATAATTTTTGTAATTTAAAATCATGTAATCTAAAAATCTATGATAGTTACAAACAATATTTTATATATGATCCAGGTCAACTCGATGGGTCTGAGTCACATCCCAACAGAAGTGGAGTCGCATTTGGTCCAGATGTGTCATTCGGACCGGTTAACAAATAACTCAGTCAAACCTGGTCGATTGGGCCTTGACCCGATCAACTGGATATTGATTCGGGTAATTCAAGCCGGTTTGATCCAGATATTTTTAGTATCTTTTGTTTTGTTATAAAAACGAGAAAGATAAAGAACACAATATAGAAACTGGATATCACTTATACTCAATTTTCTTCTTCCTTTTGTGCATTTTCCATTGCATTTCGGGTGCCTTTTATAGGCAAACTTTCCCTAAAATACATTCAATAATTTACATAAGATGTATATCCTATCACTATTCACATTCCTTCAAATAATTAAATGTCACTATTTATGCATAGTGGTTCATTCCACTTGTGACTTGTTTATAACACTCCCCCTTGGAATTACCACTATGCAATGTGCGTTTATGCTGCCTCATTAAAAACCTTATCCGAAAAAACCCTATGGGAAAAAATCGAGATAAGGAAAAAAGAGTACAACCGCACATGCTCCCCCTCGAGTTATCATCCGTGTAAATCTCGAAGATGTCTCATTCCAATGTTATGGACGTGCTTTCGAAATGTTGTAGTTGGGAGCGCCTTCGTAAATAAGTCTGCTGCATTATCACATGATCGGATGTATTGAATCTTGATCTGTTTGTTCCTTTCAAGCTCTTGAGTGTATGAGAAGAACTTTGGTGGGATATGTTTAGTTCTGTCACTCTTGACGTATCCTTCTTTGGTCTGAGCGACACATGCTGCATTGTCTTCGAATATGACCGTCGGATCTTTATAATTTGATAATCCACTGGCTTGTTGAATGTGTTGAGTCATATTTCTGAGCCAGATGCTCTCCCTAGTTGCTTCATGCAGTGCAATGATTTCAGCATGGTTTGAAGATGTAGCAACTAGTGTTTGTTTCTGAGAACGCCAGGAAAATGCAGTTCCACCAATAGTGAAAACGTAGCCAGTCTAAGATCTCGCCTTATGTGGGTCTGATAAATATCCTGCATCTGCAAAACCGATCATTTCATGTTTTTTATCGTTTGAGTAAAATAATCCCAGATCGATTGTTCCTTGGAGATAACGGAATATATGCTTGATTCTATTCCAGTGTCTCCTTGTAGGTGACGAGTTATATCTTGCTAACAAGTTGGTAGCAAAAGATATATCTGGTCTGGTGCAATTAGCAAGATACATAAGAGCCCCTATTGCACTCGTATATGGTACCTCAGGACCAAGTATTTCTTCATTTTCTTCACAAGGTCGAAATGGATCCTTTTCAACATCCAATGTTCGGTTAACCATAGGAGTACTAAGGGGATTAGCTTTGTCCATATTAAATCGTTTCAGTACTCTTTTAGTATAGTTAGATTGATGGACGAATATCCCATTTTGTACTCTCTCTATCTGTAAGCCAAGGCAATATTTAGTTTTTCCGAGATCTTTCATTTCAAATTCGCCTTTCAGAAAAGTAACTGCTTCTCGAATTTCATTTGCTGTCCCAATAATATTAAGATCATCAACATAGACAGCAATTATCACAACTCCATCATGTGATTTCTTTATGAAAACACACGGACATATTTGATCATTCAAGTATCCCCTTTTTAGTAATTGTTCACTCAAACAGTTATACCACATTCGCCCGGACTGTTTTAAGCCATACAATGATCTTTGCAACTTTAACGCACATAACTCCTTAGGTTTTGAGTTCAGTGCTTCGGGCATTCTGATTCCTTCTGGGACTTTCATGTATATGTCGGTGTCTAATGATCCATACAAGTAAGCAGTCACAACATCCATGAGACGCATCTCAAGATTTTCATGGGTAGCTAAACTCATCAAGTATCTGAAAGTAATTGCATCCATGACAGGGGAATATGTTTCATCATAATCGATCCCAGGCCTTTGGGAGAATCCCTGTGCAACAAGGCGAGCTTTATATCTCGTGATCTCATTATTCTCATTTCTTTTTCTGGTGAAAACCCATTTGTATCCAATGGGTTTTATGCCTTTTGGTATAATGGAAATAGGCCCAAAAACTTTTCGTTTATTTAGTGAATCTAACTCGGCTTGAATGGCGCCTTTCCATTTATCCCAGTCACGTCTTTTCTGACATTCAGCTACAGATTTTGGTTCAGGATCCTCAACTTCATTATCAATTTCTTTTGATACCATATATGCGAATGCATTATCATTATTCATGATCTCATCACGCTTCCAAAGATTCCCATTGTTCACGTAATTGATGGAAATTTCAATATTTTCATTTTGTCCCAAAATTTTTCCATCATCTTGATTCCTTTTCAAATTGGAGTCAAGAATTTCTCTTTTCTTTCGAGGATTCTTATCTTTAGACCCAACTGGTCTTCCTCGTTTCAAGCGTGTCTTTGACTCATTTGGCTTATCGTCATTTGCCATTTCTTTTGGAATCTCAATTCGAGCAGGGGCATTTACGGCTACCACATGTGATTTGGTCACCCTTTTTAAATCAGTAAATGCATCTGGCAATTGATTTGCATTATTCTGCAAATGTATGATCTTTTGAATTTCTTGCTCTCTTTGTTTGGTGGGAGGATCAAGATATGATAATGCGGATGTTCTCCATTCAATATTTCTCTCAATTGACTTTTCATTCCCACCTAAAGGGGGAAACAATTCTTCATTAAAATGACAATCATCAAAACGAGCTGTAAAAACATCACCTGTTTTTGGCTCAAGGTATTTGATTATTGATGGAGATTCATATCCAACATATATTCCCAACCTTCTTTGAGGCCCCAATTTTGTACGTTGTGGCGGAGCAATTGGTACATATACTGCACAACCAAAAACTCTTATATGTGCAATATTTGGTACTCGACCATATGCCAACTGTAATGGCGAGAATGTATGGTATGCACTTGGTCTTATTCGAATTAGATCATCTGCATGCAGAATAGCATGTCCCCTTACTGAAGTGGGGAGTTTTGTTCTCATTATCAATGGTCTAGCTATAAGCTGCAGTCGTTTAATAAGTGCTTCTGCTAGACCATTTTGAGTGTGAACATGTGCCACAGGATGTTCAACATCAATTCCCACAGCCATACAATAATCATTAAATGCTTGAGATGTAAACTCTCCAGCATTATCCAGTCTGACTCTCTTGATAATATAATCTGGGAATTGAGCCCTTAATTTAATAAGTTGGGCAAGTAACTTAGCAAATGCCATATTTCTAGTGGATAACAAACTTACGTGAGACCATCTACTAGAGGCATCAATCAACACCATAAAATATCTGAATGGACCACAAGGTGGATGAATAGGTCCACATATATCACCATGAATCCTTTCTAAAAATAATGGTGATTCATGTCCGACTTTAGTATGTGATGGTCTCATTATCAATTTCCCTTGAGAACAAGAGGCACATGTCAACTCATGTGTTTGCAATATCCTCTCATTTTTCAGTGGATGGCCACTAGAATTTTCAATAATTCGTCGCATCATTATCGAGCCAGGGTGACCAAGTCGATCATGCCAAAGTTTAAATATTTCATTCGACTTTGAATTTGTTGCAACATATGCCTCAATTATATTAATCGGGTATAATACAAACCCGAGGATAAAGCGGGTAACTTCTCCAAAACACATTTATTTCCCGCATTATCTGAGGTAATGCAAAGATATTCAACTCCCCCTTTATTCATCGTTTCAATGTGGTATCCGTTCGTTTGGATATCTTTAAAACTCAACAAATTTCTTGTTGATTTTGGGGAGAATAGTGCATCACTTAATATAAATTTTGTACCGCCCATCATAAAAAATATGGCTTTTCCAAAACCTTCAATTATCTTTGCACTTCCGGATATTGTGTTTACTTTTGCTTCATTTAATTTCAAGGTCACGAAATATTTTCTGTCCTTGAGGATAGTATGAGTAGTAGCACAATCTGCAATACATATATCTCCATCTTGAATTCGAGACCGATCCATGATCTAAAAGAAAACAACATTTATTATTGATCAAATTCAAAGTACAGATACAAGTAGCTCATACACAAATACATTACAACTCAAAAAGCAAAATAAAAATATGATCATCAGTTATTCTCTAGGTCATTTCCAACTCCGTCTTCAAATGCCGCATCGGCAAAATCCAGTTTCAATATGTCATCGATGCCATAGTCATCATCCACACGCGTTGCATCATTTTCAGAGGATTCCCCCAACCATAAAATTAGTTTCTATATTCTTATCTTTTGATTTTTGGGAATCTTGGTATTTTTCAACCACGTGCCTTGGGGCTCGACAATTTCGAGCCCAATGGTTATTTCTACCACATCGATAGCATGCCTTTTCATCGTTATCCCCTTTATTATTTTCAGAATGTTTATGAAAATCGTTTTTTCCATGTCCATGATAATTACCTCGGCCAGATTTGTATCCTGGGAAAGAATTTCGGCCTCGTCCATAATCACGGCCACGTCCCGAGGTATATCCACGCACATTTGTTTGGCTGTTTTCATTTCCGGTTCCCTGTTTAGATATTACAGCATTTATTTCAGGGACCGCAGTAGACCCCGTGGGTCTAGATTCATGATTTTTCATCAACAGCTCATTATTTTGTTCGGCTAGCAACAAGCAAGAAATCAGCTCAGAATATTTCACAAAGCCTTTTGCTCTGTATTGTTGCTGCAAAAGTACGTTTGAAGCGTGGAATGTGGACAACGTTTTTTCAAGCATATCGTAATCAGTTACGTTTTCCCCGCATAATTTCAATACCGAGCAAATGCGGAACATGGCTGAATTGAACTCGTTTACAGTTTTAAAATCTTGGAAGCGTAAGTGCATCCATTCATAACGAGCCCGGGGGAGAATTACTGTTTTCTGATGATCGTATCTTTCTTTCAAAGCTTTCCAAAGATCCGCAGGATCTTTCACAGTTAAGTATTCATTTTTCAATCCCTCATTTAAATGGTGCCGCAGAAATATCATTGCTTTAGCTTTATCTTGTATTGATGAATTATTTGGGGAGATTATTGTTTCTCCCAATCCCCTCGCGGCCAAATGAATTTCGGCATCCAGTGTCCATGAAATATAATTTTTTCCCGAAATGTCAAGAGCCTCAAATTCAAGTTTGACCAGATTTGCCATGATAACTATAAAATAAAACATCAATGCTTATATTAGAGAAAAATTACATTATACAATCATTAATTCTCCATAACGTACAAAAAAACAAATAAGAGACACATCATACAAAAACCTAATACATAAAGTATAAATTCAGTGGTATGATACATCATCGTGAAAATTCCCAAAGTGTAAAAAATAAACAATATAATGGTAATTATAAATAGTAGATGAAACATTTTTTTCGTTGGAGGGAAATATATTTTAGTATTTGAAATGAGTGTTAATATATGAAGTGTAGTGTGATATATATATAAGTTGATAAGTAGCTGTTGCAATATAGCCGTTATGTAGCCGTTGGGAACAAATTAATGGTATAATATTTGTTAGTTAATCATTCGTGATTATAAAATACTAATTAATCATGTATATTATCTTAAAAATTCATCGAGCCACTATGTGAACAATTTAATGAATATAAGTGTCAAAACAAATAAAAATGTCACTCCGCACTACTCGATAAATCTTTCGGTGGGTATAAATATAAGCAGTTATAAATTTCATACCACATTACTGGGTGAACCATCTTGTGGGCGTTAAGTATAAGTAATAATATTATTTATTATAACTTGAAGTTATATATCATAATTAGTAGTAATCATAAGCAAATTTAATAATATCATCTTACCACATATTATTGACTATGACATAGCCTTACTTGCCAATAATAATGGTAATATGTATATCAGTAAAATATACTAATTTTAGGTAATATATATATACATACATATATAATTAGTATATTCCTACCTTTCTTGATCGGATAGAGCGCTCGTGCTGATAACGTGTTATAAAAACGAGAAAGATAAAGAACACAATATAGAAACTGGATATCACTTATACTCAATTTTCTTCTTCCTTTTGTGCATTTTCCATTGCATTTCGGGTGCCTTTTATAGGCAAACTTTCCCGACAATACATTCAATAATTTACATAAGATGTATATCCTATCACTATTCCCATTCCTTCAAATAATTAAATGTCACTATTTATGCATAGTGGTTCATTCCACTTGTGACTTGCTTATAACATGTTTTACTAAAATAAAGTAATGTGCATAAATGTGACAAAACTTTTATAATGGATATAATATTAATAAAACTTTGAGCTATAATGTTTACATATGAAATTTTTATTATTGTCATTTTATGTATATTTTTAAGAAAAAAAAATGTATATATATATATATATATATACATACTAAAAATAAATTAATTATATAATTCAACAATTGACTCGATGATCCAACAATTGTTTAGAAATATGAAATTAGATTGATATAGCCATATAAAGATATACCGGCCCAAAGGCTCCCTACTCGACCGGATAGTGGCTCAAACTGATTCGACATGTCGACATGCACCCGTCGACATGTTGAAGTTGATTCCTCCAGGTCGACTCTTAACAAGATCGATAATGAGAAATGGCAGATGCCCTACAAGTCAACTCTCGGAATTCGACATTGTTCAGTCGACTTCCCGAAAGTCGACATCTATCTGAGAAAACCGACAAGAGCGTAGCCTCCGAACAACCAAGGGATCCTGGGTCGACTCGTTTATACTCGAGGTCGATTCCTTGTACCTCGAGACGAGAGGCATTCCGACGATTCCATACACTTGGTATATTTCTTGGAACCTCTTGACCATCAATGGATAAGAAGGAATCTTGAGATGACTCAGCAAGGAGGGAAGACGAATCGACCGGGGCAATTTGGACCTTTTAGGTCCACCGACTTGGGCATTTCAGGTACTACAAATAAGTATTCGCTCCTATATAAAGGAGAGGAGGTAACCCCAAACCCTAACTCTCATTCATTCCACACTCTCCTCATAGCTGCTGCGCAGCATCCCTTCATCTCTCTGATACTGACTTGAGCGTCGGAGGCTCTACACCGGAAACACTTCCGGTTTTGAGTTTTTGCAGGTATTCTCGCAGTCTAGCAACGATTTAGAGGCGGTTCAAGCAGATTTGAGCTCAAATCCATCGGTTCTCTTCAGATCTAGAAGTAGACCCATCATAGATGAATATGAAATTTTGTATGCAATTATAATATTAATTAAATTTTATTTTAAAATTTATATTAAGATAGTTGGATAGATAGAAAAAAATGGTAAAAAATAAAATGGATAAATAGTATAGTTTCACTAAGAAATTAAAATTAAATGTCATTTATACACAATTAATTAGATGAGAAGGAATATCCACATTCTTTGGTTATGTTTGGTCCGCGAGGGGTTAAAAAAAAGGAAAAGTTTTATCTCTCCCACGTGATATGGAGAATATTGTAACAATACCACCCCCATTAAATTAATTGTATATTTACTTAAAAGATAAAATTAACTACATTAATGTCTAATTTATTTACCATATCAATTGAACTTTCTCTCCTTCGTTTTCCTCTCCTTCTTTTGTGCGCGTGATTTGCGTCCGTTTGCTTAAAAAAAAAAACTCTCCTTTTTTACCCGTTATGTGCGTCTTTATTTATTTTTATTTTATTTTTATTTTCCAGTGTATATTTTTAGTGTCAATTGAATATTTTCGGTGTATATTGCGTTAATAATCATTATATTTCAGTATATTTTCAGTATATGTTTGCGTTTGAAATATCGAAAAATGAAATAACATCAACACACTATATGTCAAATAAACTGTAAATATACATCAAATAAACATTGGAAATAGTATATTTTTAGTATATTTTCAGTGTATGTTTGCGTTTGAAATATCGAAAAATGAAACAACAAAAAACTGACTTATATCAAATAAAACTGAAAAATAGTATATTTTTAGTATTTTCAGTGTATGTTTGCATTTAAAATATCAAAAAATGAAACAACACAAACTGACTTATATCAAATAAGCTGAAAAATATACATCAAATAAACGTTGAAAAATAGTATATTTTACATTCATCATCTGCCAGAATGCCGTGGTGGCCGCGAGATGGCTCGGGAGGACGCGAGTCATATACTGTACATATACTCCAATCCGAAATCATCTTGCGTAAAAGATATTCTTCTTCTCTCTCGTCGACTCCATGGAGAATGATTCTCGGATCGCCTACCTGGAGATGACGACCGCGGGGATGGCTCGGTAGACGGCGGCGTGCGCGTTCTCAACGACGTTCTCGAGCACGGTGACGATGAGGGCTCGATACACGTTCTGCGGCTAGGAGGGCTCTCGTTGTTGCTTGGCAGCTGCTGCGTGGTGGTTGCTTATGGCGAGGACGCTGTTGTTCGCCTGAAGAGGATGTCAGC